ATTTCTGCACATGATCCCTGCATAATTGGAACCTTACAGCTCCCCCACAAGCCTCTCCCTGCCTCCTGTGGGAGCAGCCACGGTGTTATTACAAGTCTTATTTTCTTGCTTTTTCTTCGCTCGTCGAGCTTAGGGTTTCAGAGCTCAGCAGCAGGATTTCATTTCCTTTGCCCTAGCAGCAGATCGGGCAAGGGGGCCAGCAAGGGAAATCATACTAGGCCAGGCTGGGACAACACCAAAACCGGCCACATTGACCCAGGCAGCCTCGTGCGCTTTAATGGAGCACTTAACAGCTCTGATCCGTGCTGCTGCAAGAAGTACTCCACGCAATTAATAGGAGGATCATAGCGAACGTTAAGCTTGCCTTTTACTCCGAATCCAGTGCTTCTACGTAAACCAGTATCCTGTTACTTTTCCTACACTTTTCCTTAAGTATTCCTGGCAAAAGCAAACAGATTGCATACATAGTCAAATAGTGCAAACTGTATACATTATTCTGGGGGAAAGTGATAAAAATCACAATTGTGTTAAAGGTTCAGTAAACTAAAACAGAAGTCACTGATCACCCAACTGAAAATACATGTATCTATCTGGGAATCATATTCACAGATACACATGTAAAATCTATAATACCTGTACTTAACTTGCACAATAATGGCGCCTCTAATCACATCTACTACCGAGTGTAACCTACTGCTCAGGGTTATCAGGCTGTAGGGTGGCTAACTGCAGTAAAGATAATACTAATTGAAAGAAAACTATTATCCCTTTGGATCGCAAGCCAATGCATGTACTTGCAGAAAAATGTTTCTGCACAAAATGTAACAGCACTAATGACACTAAATACATACAGAAAAGATTTCAAAGGGAGTGTAAAGAAGAGCTCCACTAAAGCACTATTGGTAAATAGTCACATCATCATGTCACAATTTTAAAAAAAAATTAATAAACCTCATAGAACCTTATGGTGTTCCTAGCCTCTATCTGGCCCGTATATTTGCAGAAATGCGGCTACTCCCCCTCAGGAAAGTTTGTATGGTCGCCCAATGAGAACTTTCTCTGCTTTGCCCTATATAAGCTATCATTCCACTGGCATTGTGTATTAAATATTGCAGCAGTGCTTATTTGCATACTATCTGATTTGCCAGTGATTTCATCAGCACCTTGATTTAAAGTAATAGCCCACATTCTAATACTATAGAGCTTCTCTGCAAATAAGCTAAGAACTGCTGTTTAGCAGACCAGACTGTAATGACCCATAATAAGCGTATATCATCCATATATCTGTGGCACCCTGGATGGCATCAAACATCATTTTTTTTCTTTTTCGAGCAGCAGAAATCACGGGGCAAAGGATGCCGCCAGTTTCTGTAGCTCTGCACAGTCATGTCTCAACTTCCAACACATCTAACAAAACCTGATGTATGTCAACAACCTCTCCCCTGCCTGCCAGACAGACAAGTCAGGGCAGGAGAGCAAACACAGATTTCAAGATCTAGTATTCTTATAGTTTTTTGTTTTTTTTTACTGGAACCCCCGGTCCTGCAGATGTTTACTTTCCTTAAAACTCAAATCTGCAGAGCATCACAGATCAGCATGATCCTGCTATCACATACAATATCAGGTCTTCATTCTGTATCCTGCCCCTTATTGTCTGCATTCAACCCAGGAAAAGTTTAACATAAGCTTTTCAGGTTGGCAAGAGTTCCATAGCAGTACAACTGGCTTATCCTTTATCACAATCCATGGAAGATCATAATAAATCATGCAGGCTGGTTCTGCCCCTGTTTTTCTGCACTGCTTGTATTAAACACACAGCCCTTATCCGAGTCTATTGAAAACAACCTAGTACACACAATCCTGGCACTCAAGTCTTATGTTCAAGGTGAAGTGTACAGTTTCCTACTTTAAACCTTGTTTCTGATACCACCTTGACTCAACCGTGAAAAATCGAGTCCTGCAATACATTTTTATTTAACTCACCCATGTAGCACAGATACATTCTGGTAAATTAGAGAAAGGTGTTATGGGCGATATTTAGCAATTTTTTTCAGCTTGTGGACATTTAACACGGAATTCTTACTTTGTATTTGAACTGCAGGATTTCCTGAGTCCCCATCTCCATTGCAAAAATGAAATTTAAGTTATTAATGTCAAAGTATTGAATCACCCCTTGGCTTCTTCATATTTTGACAACTCTAATAGGAAAAATGCAGTATCCTGTATCTTTGTTTCCAAACAAAAGGCCGCAATTTCCAACAGTAACCATTATTCTGCAACAAGCAGTAACAAATAGTAACTAATCAGAAAACACCTTCATCCTTCTCATCACACTTAAGTGATAAAAATTGGTTAACGGTCATAGGTAGGTGCATGCCGCAAATGTACTATATGGGCCTATAAAAAGGGTACAGTTTGACAAGAAGTTTGAAGCCAATGATTGCATAGTGACAAATGCAAAGTTTAACTTTTATGAAAGCCAGATCGTTTCTTTACCTTAAAAAAGAGTACAAATGTCTGCCAAAAGACCATTTAACTTTATACAAAGCAAGCCTTTGTGCAAAAGAGAGCGCTGCTGAAATTAACTCATTTACTGAGTAAGATATGGCATGGCATGGCCCAGTTTGGCAGGAAGGAGAACCTATTCCTGGAGGCTTGTTTGGAATTTTCCTCCTCGGCTCCTGGCCGCCCTCTGTGAAAGTTTGTCAGGTTTGAAGGTTGGGAAGTCATAGAAGAAATTGGTAATGAAGTATCCTGACATAAGCACTTGGCTCGGTGGTACAGGACACTGGCCCAGTGTGGCGGGGCCACAGCACATTTCCGCTCATGGCATCAGCAAGCTGCTTGGAGTCATGTGAATGCCCTCCTACCCAGAATTAGGATACCAGGTTATTGTGTTTTATGGCTGCTTGACAAAAATCCATTTGTCTTTAATATTGCCCTGTCAGTGGCTGAGAGCAAACTTTTATAATTCATAGGAAGCTATGCTTCAAAATTATTGCTAGCAGATGAATGGAGGCTCACCAAGCTGGCCTTCCTCCTGTTGTGTCCTGTGTAATGTGGGAGCTACTGTTCATCCCTGTGTAGAACATATCACTCTAGTGTACAAGAAGTATAATAAATGATTGCAGAAGTATATTTTTTTATTAGGGTTTGCGATACAGCAATTAATTGGATATGTTCAAAAAAAAAAAGAAAAAAAACCACAACTAGTGCTGCTTTACTTCAAGTAAATGGAAACCCGAACTGGATGACATTTAGCTTGCTAAAGTTCTGAAATTGAAACAACTGCCATGTTTTGTTTCATTCATATAATACTTTTTTTTATCCATATTTGCATTAAAAAAAAAAAAAAAAAAAGTTCTGCTGATTTCTCTAGCCCCCCACAGCCACTTCCCATCTACATACACTTGCTCCAGTGTCAGTTGCTCCGGAACTGATTTCATATAGGGACAATGATGGACCATACTTGTGCAAAGTGTGTGACTGGGTGACAACACAGAAGCACAATTGGTAGAGAGTTGTCACCCCATTACAGAAATTGCTTGAATTAAATAATTTAATAAAAGATTAAAAATCACATTTTGAAATGGCATATTCTACAGCTTACATATTTTATAGATTAAGTTAAGCTATATTTACTACTGTACATCAGTGCAAAGAGCAAATAGCAGTAGTGTATAAGAATCCATTAGAATTTCCCAACCTTTTACACTGCTTTCCTTTTGAAAACGCTTCTTGCCTAGCTGCTACTTTAACCTACTGGGGTTTGGAGAAAAGCCATGAGTTCTTAGCCACATGCTTCTTCCAGGTCAGTGTCATTTCAAAGTATTGAAGCAAGGGGGTAAGCATGTCAGCTAAGCAGCTAACTAAAAGTCAACAAAGGTAGCATAGAGATTATTCTCATGACAGGTTTCCTTTAACCTGAACACTAATTTAAAGCATCCTGAACTAACTAGATAATACACAAAAAGGCAATAAAGCATCATCAGGCACAGGAGTTTTTAAGGATGTTGGAAAATTAATTAGAGATTTGTTCAGAAAAATAGATTTGGAAGGTAAACTGGTTAGGGCGGGAGGAGAAATCAAAGCCTCAGTGATCCCATTAAAACAGGCTCTCCTTGGTGTCATACCCGTCGAAGGTTCTACCTGCATATCTGACAGTATACATGAACAAGTCCTTCCAGTGACTCTAGAGGTGTGCATCTTACCTATGACATCAACACTGTAAGTGTGGTTGATTGACCCATGTTCATTCTCCACAATGCAAGTGTATATGCCTTTATCCGACGGGACAGCGCTTTCCATGATCAGAGTCCAGTGCTGGTTACGGACCTAGGAAAAAAAAAATATACACGTAAAATAAACAAAAGGTGAATATAAAACAAATCATTTGTTAGCACATCTAGATTTAACTTTCAGGCATCAATTTAGGTAAAAACGCTACACTTTTCTTTTACCAATTTTAGGCTTTTTTTCCCCACATTTCTTCTAGCTCTACATGTTCCCTTTTCCATGTAAAATATTCAGGATAATAGTATGAAAGCCTTTTTGTTTTTCTTCAAGGATAAGCAAAGGGGTCTTCTACCAATGTCTTGTCTGTGGTGGAAAAAAGTAACCTCGTATCATGTTTTCTGGCACAGCTTGCCTTTTAACTGGTGCTAAACAGTACTTGACTGGTACTGGATTGCGTGACAAGGCTCAACTTTTTAAATCTCATTTTTAATCACAAATTACTCATTGTATCTATGTTAATCCGTAAAATCAAAGTCTGCCAGCTGATCAAAATTATTAATGTAAAGTTGCCTTCGTTCTTTCAATCACCATCGATCATATTAGCAATCAAAAGCTATTTGAATTTGAGATATTGACTGGCATTTGCTTTGCGAGTGTTCAGCCTAAGACAGAAACTGCTTTATTTTCAATCCACAGTTCTTTAGGACAACAGAAACAAGGTAACCCATTGTAATTACGCAGACACACTGACAGAGAGATGAGTACATATTTATACTTTATAAATAATCGTGAGCAGCAAACTGTATAGTGAATATCAAAGACTTAAGCTAGGTTCACACCAAGGCAATTCAAATGCCGAGCTGCTGTCGTGCATTTTCGATCGCGCAACTGTTCTTTGAAAACCACACGGTTTTTGCATGCTTTTCGATGCTTAGAGATGTCTATGGGACCCAAACCGCGGGCCAACCACCCGAAAATCGCTCCTGCACCTTTTCGCGTGACTGGCGATTTCGTCCCGCAACAAAGCGCAAAGGTGTGAACAGACTCCATTGACTTCCATGTAAATCTGTGTTTTGCGCGATATCAAGCGACACAATCTGCGTGATAAATCACCTAGGTGTGAACCTAGCCTTATACAAATCTAGGCTCACCATACATTTTACAATGTGATTGTACAATCATCCTTTGGATTTATCAAAACTATGTAACTATTGTTGCATAAATACAAAAAAAATTTTAAAAAATCGAACGGATTCCTCCACCCATGCTAAACAGCGTAGATAGACAAATAATCTGCCGCTGCTATTGCATTCTGCCAGCCGTGGGTGTGCCGCTGCTATTGCATTCTGCCAGCCGTGGGTGTGCCGCTGCTATTGCATTCTGCCAGCCGTGGGTGTGCCGCTGCTATTGCATTCTGCCAGCCGTGGGTGTGCCGCTGTCAGAATACCTGAACATTGACTGCAGCTGACTTTTTACACTTATTATTTGATTGAGAATTATTTGTCCAGCTCATTTGATTTTCTGATCGAAGGATGCCAGGCAGAATTGCTGCTAACAGAACCACCCATGGAGCGAAGTCATCATCAAGAACTAGCTGAAATTCACTCAATGTGTGGCCAGCTTAAAACTCTAAAGATTCGACAGTCTACACCGATACCAAGGCAGCCTCCTTCACTACCTCCTATGGATGCTTTAACCCTATACAAAATGTGGTGCCCATTACTGGTCCCAAATATAATTACAGGCTGGGGGAATTTCTATCTATGAAGAAAGCATTGCAGAGAGCTGGAGTCAGAGGAATGCAGAGGAGGGGAGCGGAGCAGCTGATGGCATGGAGTGGGGGGAAGGGAGAACAGGTATCGCTTTATTTTAATGGAATAACGAGCCTCCTTTCAGAGCACACAAAGTCCTATTCAGTGGAGACCTCTGCTCTGTCAGCGGCTCATATTGTGAAATTATTTTAGGGTGATGATGGACTGTTGCGATCAGGGGAATCCAGACTATGCATTGGCTCATCATGTCTTCCCTGGGATGGAATCTCACAACTGCCCTATGTGATACTGGCTTTTCTTGCTGAAGTGAAATGTTCTTCTAATGCTCAACACAATGCTATTACAAAAATGTAGCAATTTCAGTACAAACTCAGCTTTCTACACAACTGTTTTTTGTTTTTATGTATTCAACCTTGATTTTTAATAATGGAGATACAAGTATTATTTTATTTCATACCAACACAATTTATTCTTAAAACTGTTTCCAGGAAATATTGCATGAAAAGAAAAAAAGATAAAATTACTAGTATTTCAGATATGAAACCATTACTTATTAGCAAATACACTTCTATATCATTAAAACAAACTTGTCATAAAAGGAAAAATCTTTGACCGGACCCCCTAACTTAATGCTAGGCTCCTTCAGTGGCTACATTTGCCTTAACCATGGCTCCACCACTGCTCTGATCCCCATCACTGCTCAGTAAAAATCCTGGTTCTTCAAAATATGGAGGAGTACAAGACATGCCCCCTGCTCACCATAATGATAGTAGCCAGAAATGTCATTTTTCAGGGGAGGGAGTTTGTGGATTGGTTATCATTTTAGGTTAGGGGTGCCTGATGCAGGGATGGGTTGTTTTTTTCTGTTTACAAAAGTTTTACTTTTAGTCTTATTAAAGATCATCACATGTGAAGCAAAGTCACAATGTAGACTGAAGTCATACAGAAATCTTTTACTCTAACAATGCTGAGGAATAAACAATTAAAAAGCAGTGTTTGAGGTCCTCTAAGTACAATGTTAACCCCACCCATATATACTGCTTATTTAGTCTTGGGGGGCTCTAATAGAATGCATTTCTCACTCCAAGGCCCTACAGTCTTCCTTCACTGAAGCAGCTCCTTTTTTTGTTCATGCGGTGCTCCCATTGACGTCATCAGCATGGTCCTTCATTGCAAGTAATGGCGTTGTTGGCCCACTCACATTCAGGGCCAGGAGAGAAGGCCAGGGCGCCAGCAGCAGTAGGACTGAGGTACAAGAGAAGTCTCTAGAAGTCTCTCTCTAAAGCCCTGTAGACCATACAGGGCTTATATTTTGTATATGTTGGGGCGTAGTGTCTTCCATTACTTATTTTGCTGCACACCCATCTGAGTCTATAGTTGAGGGCTCCATAAAATTAGGGGGTCTGAACACTTCTCTGTATATAGACAGTGCAGGTGACCATTCAAAGGCACTAGGTTGAAATAGGAATTACATTACAACATTAATTTTGGCACTAACAGACTCATGTTACTTTACCGAATTATTGACCTTCTATTGTTCTTCTCAGGGTGACGCATTTAATTTTAAACACTGTACTAGACACTGGTTATAGTTCCACAGCTGAAGATATACTGTTCAGTCTAACTTAGAACCCTGATTGCATTTTATCGAGGAATTTAAATGTTCATTCCTACAGCTGTAAACAGAGCTGGTGATTTATCACAAAAGGTTCCTTTAAGAGATTTCGTGAGCAGCAGAGCAGGCTGCAGACATCAGTAGGGAGTAATAAAACAGATTACCACAAGGGTACAAGTGCTTAGAAGATTAAACCTTCAACTGAGCGTCAGTATTATTCCATGGTAAAATTGCATTCCAGAGCTTCTTTGCTAATCTCTAGCTAAAGGGTCACTCAAAATAAATCCACCTGTGTCGCCCAGGCATGCAAAAATCAAGAAACCAAATCGCCCTAGTAGGCTGGAGCCCTGCATGCCCTGACAGACAAAATGACAAGTGTTCTAATTCCCAGCGCAGCTACTTTCCCATTAAATGTGTTAACGCCATTCGCTGTCAATCAACAGCTATCTTGTTTAATCCAGACTCTTAAAAAATATGTTTTTCCAAATATGCTTGTTGTGTTGTTAACATTAATCTTAAATATGTTGGAAATGTTTTCATTTTCTTAGCATGCCCGGCCATATTTTCCTATGTAGATTTGTTGGCATTCCATTTTTTAGTAATCTTCAGCTAATGCAATTGTTATTCTTGTTAAAAGAGTTGTAAAATCCCAGCATATACGATCCTGTTATAACATCAGCCTTGTAATAGGAATTCATACTAGAGTTGTTTTTGATAATGCAATCACAGCTTACTTTAAAAAAATCCCTTTTATGAAGTAGGTGCTGCCTTCCATCTGCCCGTCACTTTTAACAACTTTCTATTGTGCTTTGCATCTCTTTCCCTGCTGCTTCATGTGATGCAATATCAATTTCTCAAGACTACATATCCCATAATGCATTGCTTCCAACAAGCAATGATGATGTTACATTGTTCAGACGTTTAGTAGAAGTTCAGAAGGCGGGCTCTGTGAGAGTTGAGGTGCATATTCACAGCATTCAGAGTAATTGTGTCACTGCATTGAGGAAGTGCATACTATGGCCATCTTCAATAAGAAAGTTTACACATTTCTTGATCAATATGCCTATTAGTAGTGGGATATAATGGAAATTCATTATAGAAATACATATTTAATTTTAGTTTTTGACTATAGACACGCTTTTATAGCTGCTGTGAGAATATTAGCTATAGAACAGGCCCACGTGAAGAGAGTATTGCATTCCATACTATGTAAAATCAAGGCTGCAAAAGTTTTCCAGAGCGACACTCTGGCAGCTTTCAATGAAACTCTAACCACTGCGCCATCCGTTGACTTTCCTTGAAGAGGAGTCAGATACATCTCGTGTGCTCCACTGCTTTGAGCAAATATGATAAACTGCATGTACATATGTAGAGCAAAACAATGTATTTAAAAGATTAACAGTGAAGACAAGATTAACAGTGAAGACAATGTTTACAATAAAATTAACTTGTCCTAAGGTCTACAAACACAGACTGTGGTTGACAGTGTATATCAGATGCACTAAGCTTCCAGCGTTGGCAATTCTGGGTATGGGCAAGCATGAAGCTACTTACAATGCAGAGCTTAGTAACTCAGCGGCCAGTCACCGATACTGTCATGTGGGAAGGAGAGATGTACCGTATATCTAGCCCTAGTCACATAACAAAACCTTTCATAAAGTTATCTGCAGAGGAGCTATTGGGTGCTGCAATGGCAGGCTTGCAAACAATTA